GCCCGGGGGGGCCGGACTTAGAATGCTGGACGAGTGAGACCCTTGTGGACACAGTCGGGGAAGCAATTATGCCCGCCTCAGCATATTTGCCAAGAAGGCTTTTAAAAAATTGTAGTTGTTATTGTTTAATTGGGGGGGGGGGGGGAGTAGAAGGGAGTGGTCATAAATGCTTGCAAAAATAAACATAATTAAATAAAAATATTGTTAACGGAGCTGATGAGAGAGAAACAAGAAGACCAGAGAAATGAGGCCCCAGGAGGCTTTGTAGTTGAGACAGAATGGGAGAGTGCCCAAAGCCGAGAAGTCCACTGCTCAGTGATTTTCATTCATGTCTAACTCTTCTTTGTGACTCCATTTGGGGTTTTCTGGGCCAAAATACTGCAGTGATTTGCCATTTCCTTCTCCAGCTTATCTTACAGATGAGGAAACTGAGGACAGCAAGGGGAAGTGCCTTGCCTAGCCACATAGCTAGGAAGTGTCTCAGATCAGATTTGAACTCAGGTCTTCCTTGGCTGCAGGCCTGGCATTCTATCTTCTGTGCCACTGAGCTGTCCTGGAGTCAGGAAAATCTGGGTTTAAATCCTGCCTCTGACCCTTCCTAGCTATGTGAGTCATTTAACCTCTCTGGGCTTCAGTTTCCTCATTTGTAAAATGCAGGAGGGACAGCAAGGTAGTGCAATGGATAGAGGGCTAGGCCTGGAGTCAGGACTAATCTGGCCTCAGACACTAAACTAGCCGTGTGACCCTGGGCAAATCACTTCAGCCAGTTTGCCTCAGTTTCCTCATCTGTAAAATGAGCTGGAGAAACAAATGGTGAACTACTCCAGTAGCTCTGCCAGAAAAACCCCAGATGGGGTCAGAAAGAAGAGTGAGACACGAATGATGCCCTACGGGGGCAGCTCGGTTGCTCAGTGGTTAGAGCTCCGGCCTTGGAGGCAGGAGGACCCGAGTTCAAATTCGGCCTCAGACCCATGACACTTTGACACTTCCTAGCTGTGTGACCCTGTGCAAGTCACTTAACCCCAATCGCCTCATCAAAAACAAAACAAAAACAAGAATGATACCCTACAGACTGCCAGAGGGATCTGTGGAGATCGGGACAGGGCCTGGTCTCAGGAGCAGATCTGGAAACCATCTGTGCTGAGCTGAGGGTCTGAAAAGAACAAATCTGGGCATTAATGGGACTGTGGGGGGAGAGAAACAGGACAACGGCAAGCCAAAGACACTCCCCCGCCCTGCCCCCAGCAGTCCAGAGAGAAATCCCGAAGATGGTTTCAGAGGGGCAACTGGGGCCATGTGGGCCCTGAGGACTGAGGGAGGAGAGTTTCAGGAAGAAATGAGTCAAGAGGCAGCCCATGTAGTGAAGAGAACTGTCTGGCGGTGGGATTCCAGAAGGCCTGACTTCACATCTCGCCTCCCACTCTCCCCCTTTCTAGCCTGAGTGATTCTGGACAAGTATCCGAGCCTCTCGGTGTCCCTGGCGACTCAGATCCCAAGGGCCAGAACTTTAGTGACAGGGGAAGTTCTTGACCCAGAGCGCGTTAGATGAAATCATAGGTCCTGTGGGTGGGTGGGGACCAAAAATGAAGAAGGGATTTGTCGTTGGGGGTGATGAAGTCCCAGAGAAATCAGGGAGGATGGAGAGACAGCGCAGCGGCTCATAGGCTGTGGGCTGGGGCAGGGGGTGAAGCGGAGGGATCAACCATCCGCAACCTTCTGGTGAGTGAACAGTCTCATGGCGGGGATTGAAAGTCCTTCCTGACAAACGAGTCAGTCAGAAGAGAACTGCCTGGAGAGGCAGCTTCCAAGGATAAGGAGGTGACGGGTCCGCTGGGAAGGGCCCCAGCCTGGCCAGGTACAGCTTGGGGGGGGGGGGTTGTATTTCAGAAGGTTGTTGGCTCAGTGCATAGAGTCAGAGAAGACCTGCCTTCAAACTCCACCTACCTCGGCTCTGGCTGGGCTTCAAAGGCTTTTTGACTTACTAGCTGTGTAAATCCTTTGACCTCGGTTTTCTTGTCTGTAAAATGGGTATAATAGCACTGACCCCACGGGCCTGTTGTGCAGATCAAAAGAGATTATCAAGGCAAAGCAGTTTAGAAAGCACTAGAGAACCATTCACTATTATTGTTATGAGTGTGAGTTGGGGAGCAGCGGCAGATGAGAGTCGGAGGAGGGCCGCTTGAGGTAAGCCCTGGGGATCAGAAGCGGGGAGGGACAGATGTGATTGCTGGCTTCCCATGTTTGAGGTGATGGATAGAAGCTGGACCAGACATGTTCCCATGACCCTCGGAGGGCAGACTCAGGTGCAGTGAAGCCACAAAGAAGCCAATGACTACTATATTTCCTAAAAGCGGCCTGGGCTGCTCTGGAAGGTGGTGAGCTCCCCGTTACTGGGAGGTCTTCAGGCACAATGTGGAGGCTCGATGTCTCTGTGAAACCTTCCCAGGTTGCCTCTGCTGCCAGGGCATTCCCCTCACAGTCCCTGGTATTTATTTTGCACCAACTCACACATTGGCTCCCTCCTCCCTCCCAGAGGAAGGCAGCTCCTGGAAGGCAGGGCCAGTTTCTCTTTGCCTAGCACATAGTAGGGCTTTGGGACTGTGTGGTTGAGGGATCCATCAGATGCAGGTTTTTTTTTTTTTTTTCAAACATGTAAGACCTGGACTGTTTAAGCCCCTCAGGTCCCCTCCTGGTCCAAGAGCCTCTGGCTGGGTGAAACTGGAACAGGGGGATAGAGACCTCCCCCGGGAGAAGACAGGGTAGGAAGGAAGAGGGGGCCACTCCCTCTCCAGCAACCCCCCCAATCCTTGGCAAGCCTGCTCTTTCCAGCCCCCTCCTAGGCACCAGGTGAGGCCCCCACACCTGCCCCAGGGAGGGAAGGACAGACGGCGGAAGACAGATCTGGGGAGCCCCGAGTTAGACAATATAGAGTGTTTATTTCGGACAAAGTCGCTCTTGGCTGCCCTAGCTGGAGCCGCTCCCGCCCCCGGAGGTGGGAGAGCCCCCTGCCCTGAGTCCCCGGAGCCCGCCCTCCCAGCCTCGTCCGGACACGCGGCACTCGACCACGCACACGCATGCACACACTCAGCTCACACTCACCGCGGGGCTGAAGCTAACACTAGATTCCGCTGGGGAGGGGGGAGGCAGCAGGAGGGATGGGAGGGGCAGGGGCAGGGGCAGGGAGAAGCAGCAGGTCTAGGCTACCTTAGATTTCAATCTAGCACGTCTAGTCTATCGGCATTATTGCATGTATACGCTTGTTCAGAGGCAAAGTGAAGAGACTCCGTGGGGAAGCGGGGCAGGGCTGTCTCTACTAATACGAGCTGCCACAGCCCCCAGGGGGCCGCAGTGGCTGGGAGAGGGAAGGGGCGGGGGAGGGGCCGGAGCTTGGAGGCCTCCCTCCTCCCTTGCGGGCGCTGTCCGAGGTACAAGTGCCCAGGCCCCCTCAGGACAGGTGTCTTCGGCGCGGTTCTTGTGGTGGCCCCCACACAGGGGGCAGGCCAGCTCTCGGAGTTCTCAGTCCAGTGCGGGGTCGGGGGTGGGGGGGGGGAGCAGACCTTCGGCCAGCTGACTGGGGACTGGGTTGGTGGAGCCTGACAGGGCGTCGCCTCCTGGCCCCGCCCCCAGTCTGCTTGCTCCCCAACAGCCAAGACCTGCTTTTCTCCGCGCCCCCCCCCCCAGCTCACGTACGCACAAACATTTTGTTCCTGGGGTGGCGGTGGGGCCTCTCTGCAGGCTTTGGAGGCAGGACCTCGTAAGAATGGGAGGGAGCAAAGGGGAAGCGAAGCTATGGGACCCCTATAGAGCGGGGTGGGGGTGGGGGGGGCCAGCCCCATCCAAGGGATGAGCTGAGAGGGAAAAAGGGAGGCTGAGGCTGAGGCTGAGGCTGAGGCTGAGGCTGAGGCTGAGGCTGAGGCTGAGGAGGCCCTCCTCCCTCCCCTCCCCCCCGCGAACAGACCAGCCAAGCCTCTCTTCCCCGCCCTCTCCTCTCCCAACTCTTCCTCCTTCTCCCCCTCCACCCGTCCTCATCCTCTGCATCTGTGTTCCCTTTGCCTTTGCTCTGGAGGCTGAGGGCAGCCTTCTAGACTTCCTCTGGTTTAGCCAGGTCGAGACTGCTTGTTCAGTCTCTGTTGTCTCCAGTCAAGTCCAGGCATCCCCCTGAGTGCTGAATGCCCACCCACTACCTCTGGCTGACCATCTCCCCCAACTTTGCCCTTGGTTTCTCAGGTTCCTGCTTGTTATGCTTAACCCCACCCCCCCGCCCCCAGCTCTGTCTGTCAATCTCTCCTGGCTTTCTCTCTAGCCTCCCTTACCAATTCTATCAGTACTTCTCATTTGGCACCTTGAGAGAAGTCCCTGGAATAAAGGTGGGATATGGAGATCCCTGGCATAGCAGTGTCAGGAGGCTCTGGTCAGGTATGGAGGGCAAGGACTTCCAGAGCTGGCCACAAAGGGGCCCCTGAGAGCTGCTCCCCACACACCTGGACCCTCGAGCTTTTTCTGCCACAGCCCTTTACCTGGGGGTGGGGGTGGGGGAGGGGGAAGGTCCTGAGAGGGTGGTGGGATGGGGCTGGAGTGGGGCAAGGTTAGGGCTCCCCAAGCTCTGGGCATTGAGTAAGATAAAGAGGCATCTCCAACGTCTGAAGACTCCAGGCCCCAGATGTGGCTATTACAGTGTCAACAGGGAAGGACAGCACACACACACACAGAGACAGGCACACAGACACACACGCGCACACACACAGACAGGCACACAGACACACAGACACATGCACACACACACACAGGCACACAGACACACACATGCACACACACAGGCACACAGACACACAGACACATGCACACACACAGACAGGCACACAGACACACACATGCACACACACAGACAGGCACACAGACACACAGACACA